CAGGTGTATAAATGGGTACCGGTGAACTTAATGCTGGGGGTAACCCTGCGATGGACTAGCATCCCATCCAGGAGGGAGTAGAAATACTCCTAGTTGCCTGATGCTATAGAAACTGGGATAAGCTCCGGCCTGGTGGGCCACTTGGCTCGTATGCAGACTCTTATTTGCCTATGTGTGTGTATTACTACATGTTCTCAACAGATTAAACACTACTGAGTGGAATGCAGCTGTATGATATATCAATTGTGATACTTGACTTCTTACCTTTATAATTTGTTCCATGCCTTGTTCTTCTAGTGCATCAGTTATGTCATAAAACCCATCTTGGTTTGGTGTGGCATACAAAACCTGGAGAGCATTACACAACACTTCATTGATCGCAGTGCCATACAAATAACAAGTAATAACTGATAACCTGTCTCCTAGCCTGCATAGCAAGCTCTCCATAGGAGAGGGCAAACAAGCAAAGTCTGGTCATGCAGAAATCGGGAAGGAGGAAAAAATTGATTGGTCAGGGGTGGAGGGAGGCGAGTCTCCCAAAGAGCTACCCCTAACATCCTTGGTTTGTGGGTTGCCTGTCAGGGTGAAGTACAGAAGTAGATCCTGGGACTGCTACAGTAGTTATGAAGGCCTGTCAGGACCCCTGAACAAGCTGGCAAGTAGAGGCTATGGCTGTTCTGCAGAGGGCTAGTCACTGTCTCAGACTCAATTTTTGACTACAGAGACCAGAGGCCTTATGCATCCCATGGCGCAACACAGATGGATAAAGATGATGATGGAACTGATAATGTACAAGAATTTGGTGTTGATTAAATAAGCTACCCCTCCTTAACTGTGCTAAGCTTAAACCCCAATGGGCCTTAAAGATGTATGGTAAATGTCCTTTATTTTGGGACTAACTAAATGCGCTACTGTATTGATACAACCTAATGCAACTTCAATAATGATACTGACTATAACTAAAGAACAAAACTAAATCATGTACCCAAGTAATACCTGAACATATGTATGGCGTGACAAGGTCAATACAAACAGTAAAGAGTACATACCTTATTAATGAGTGTCATGGCATAAATAAGAACCTCTTCATCTGCTTGGGTTTCTTTATCTGTCATAATTCCTATGACTTCAGCCCATTCCCTGACACCTACACACACAAACAATCTCCTTTGTCATGAATGGCTACAGCACAGAAAGTCAATTAAAACAACAAGATTGCTGCTGTAATCTCCTTTCAGTGACAGTCCTCTCAGTTTACCCTCATCCTTGTTCACCTTGATTTATTTAATAGCATGAGTAGTAAACTGTTGGACTGCTGTTTTATCATGCAAAACATTTGCCTTGCGAAAAATCCGAATAAAAGAAGCCTGGCCATATGCTGGTGGTTTCCTTGGCAAGTAAATAACTAACCCACCAACACAAAAATTAAGATATCCAAGATGAAAATTGAACTAGCGTGAGGACTGTATTGGGGGAATATTGGTANAATCAAAACTTGTTTTAAGACTGTCTCTCTAGTTCCAGAGAAATGCATAGTTTTGATGATCTGCTCTGTTTTCCTAAGTCTTAGGAAGTCAGCACAGAACTCTCAAACTTGCATCTGCCCAGAGAAAGCAAATCAGACACAGCAGGGGGTCTGGCGGAGTGTTCTCCAGAAAATTTAGAAAAATTCAAGTGCCTCAGACGTTTTGCTTGATTCTTAGTGAAAATATGTCTCTTGAAGGTGCTTTGGTGGCAAATCTTCACCTCAGAATGAAATATTTCAATCAAAAACTTAAATGCACGAGAAATAATATTGTTTCAGTGTGAGAGCATAAGATTGCATTTGTTTGCACGGGTCTCTGGCTCAACACACGAGACTAAAGATCTTTGTCTGCAACTTAATTAAAGTTCAACAAAAATAAAACATGTGACCACTGTAGCATTGTAGTTAGCATCAGAGCACTGCAATATGAAAAAGAACTAGGATAACATACATCTGGCAATAAATGTTAATTTGACAACTGCTATTAGTTTTCCAAGGTATCTTTTCCATACCTTGATTGCTATCCACTGTTTGAATGGCATCATACAGCACCCTGGAGTTTGATTCTGTGTACTCCACAAACACAAGCAGCAGTTTAAGTGCAGTCTTCCCTACAAGACGGAACTGTAGCAAGACAAAAAAATGCAGAGTTAATATTAAGATTTGTACATGGATGCATATTAACTAGAAATGTCCACACTGTGTGGTCCTATCATGTCAGATGAAAAGGGTTTGATTGCACCATTACAATAGCTTACCCTGGAAGCTGTGAGTGAATATAACCATTGGATTGTGTCGCTGTGGTTGATAACTCCATTCATTCCATCAACGTACAGCATTATCTGACCAATAGCTATCAATAAGAAAGTTAATAAGAATTTTGTTTACAAATCTTTAAACCCTGTTGAATCTTATTCATTTTATTCATTCCAGCATCTTAATTTGTCAGTATTTATAATAAACAGCTTGATAACATTATTCCTTGGTCAAAACTACAAGATAGGGCCCAGCTGCATTGGACACATTTTTGTTTATAATTTTTGCAAAACTATCTGTTATCAGTTCTACTATCAGTTCTATTCAACCTTATAGGGATGCAACTTTTTGTTTCACCAAATTTGTCAACCCTTGCTATGATTCACAAGTACCATCGTACCACCTCAGAGCAGGACTAATTTTTGCTAAGTATAAACACTAACAGAAACGTCAATAAATTTTAACAAAAACATCAACTCAATTGTCTGGCTGCGACAAAGGGTATTTAGTTTCTTAATACGCGATTGACATTTTTTGCTTAGCAAATAAATAATACACTGTTCACAGCCTCTCTATTTACGCACGCAAAAGAAAAAGCAAGCGAAACAAGCATGAAGTACGTGGGGGTGGGGGGTGGGGTTTGCGAGCGAAGCGAGCAAGAAGAATAGCGAGACAGTAGACATCTTTGGAAAAAAGTGGACTTATTAGATTCCTCATCCTGTTATCACCCTGTTATTAACAGCTCTGCCCCTTGACCAATTAATCAAATTGGACCAATAAAATTTGAGCAGTAAATTGCTTGTTTAATTTGATTAAGTATCAGTTTGCAAACAACAACACATACATGCATTCAGGTGTTGAGAATGTCGTCCCAGACGACTTCTTCAACTCCATCAAAAAGCTGATAAAAGGGGAGAAAGCAGAGATCAAGCGGTCCTTCTGATTTTTGTAGGATATGTGTTTGTTCTCTTGCTATTTGCTTGGGAATCTTGGCAAGACATCTTACATATTTGCGTAGAATTTATTCCGAAGGTGTTACACAGTGTGGTACTCTTCAGCTACAATGAACATGACACAATTGTTTAGTGGAGAATCTTCATTCTATATCATGTTTTGGAACTTTACATCCAAAATGTCTTTGGCTGTCGTCCCGAAAACAAGCTTGTATTTTGCTTCTCCAATCTGATGAAGCATGTCGTCAAAACGATGACAAAACGATGTTGACAAAACGATGGAAGGAATCCTAAGTTGTTTTATTTGTTCTTTCATGATGCTTCTGAGTTGCAAAACAATGACAACAACAACATGCACACCATTTACATTTCTCTTGCTGTTGCGTAGAGTTGATATGTCAGACTTCCCTCAAAACCGGTCGGCAAAATTACAACAACATCTTCCGACCAAAGAAGATCAACAGCAGCCTCTTCCTGTTCATCTTTGAGCAAAGAAACATTGAAATTTCTCTTAGCAGGATTCTATTTTTAAAAACAACCGCTCTATTACGAATCACAGCATGTGCCAGTGAGAACAATTGCTGCAAGCCGCAACAGCACCTGGATGCAATCATGATTGGCCATTGTCAAGGTGATGACAGTTTTGTCGCCTTTCAACTGATGGGAATTTTCATTCCTGGAGAAAAATGGGGAATTCACTTTTTTCCAAAGATGTCGACAGCCCCTGTATTTATCTTGGTCCTGACCACCTACCCAGTCAAGTCTTCTGTTTTGCACTGGTATCCAGTTTTCTCATGATTCTGTCTGCACGTTCAACGATCGAATAAACATACGAGAAAATAGAGGGCTCTGAACAGTCTANAGAGAAAATTGGACAGGTTTCCTCGACAACAAATTCTATTTTGGCTGTATAATCTCTAATCGAGCGATAATGCATACCTATACATTTTGAACATTTAACTAAAATTATACATGATTTACATTTGGCAAGTTTTCATTCTTTGCAACAAAAACAACTTCAACTTCCGACTTAAGGCTGTAAAGTAACTGTTCTTTCTAAGAATACCAATGATTACTGACTTCGTACATGTTATATATTATCATACTGTATTTGACCCAAACAGTGTCTGATAACCTTGGCCTGTAAAATGCCGGTAAATTAACGAAACTCAAATAACACAATCAAACCAAGTACAAGCATTTTCTCGTTTTGCCCCAAAGCACAGAGCCAACAGAAAAATTGAGAGCAAAAGATGGGAATGTTATTGAAACTTTCCAGAGGAAAAGAAAAGAAAAATAAACAAAACACCGACATTCACAATAATCTTTCAGACTGTACATAGAAAAACAGTCTTTTAATTTGTTCAAGGCTTGTTAATATCTCACTGGATTGGCAATATAAGGCAACGTTGGATTAATTTTTACACACACACGCATGATAAACAAGCTCATTGTTATCATCACAAATAACAAGAGCCATAGTTAAATATGGTCCGTCATGTTTCGGGTGAGTAACCATCAAAAGAAATGTTGAACAAAACCCCGAAAATGGCCTGATTTCCATTATAACCACAAAAGGAAGCAGACGTAAAAAGACAAATTTGGAACGCTTCCCTAAAACTGGTCTTCCGTAGAAATTCCCAAGGTAATTTTCAGCGACTTTTCATCTTTACAAAATTAGCTCAATGCCGGAGCCGCTACTGGATGAAATCAGCATGATGCTGAAATGAACAACACGAAATCTACCCGACACATTTCGAACTTGACAGTGTTCCTTTCCAGTGCAGAGATAAAGCGTTCTTCTGATACACACTGGGCAAGATCTGAAGTCACGAATAGCCAAATCTCACGCACAGGAGTAATTCTAAACGCTCAAAGTAAATAAGCCGCGAGTAAACCGATCGTTCAACCAAACCAAGATTACAAACCTATTTTTATGCAAATCGCTGCACAAAACAGTAACGCGCTGAGAGAAAACTGTTTCGTGCAAGGCAGAACAGGACGGTTAGGACTGACAAAAAAAGCAGTTTTACGGTTTCTTTATTTGTTTGATCGCAAAACTAAGAGCTACGAGCGGAAATCGCAAAATTCTAACTAGCCGTCTGTTGACTTATTGACCCAAATAAGCTGGCAAATAGTAACATAACCGGGCTACTTGAAATGCCAGCATGCTGTACGAACGGCAAGCCACCATTAGTAAAGTAACATTGCGTCTTGTAGTGCTGATGTATTGTTATCGCATTTAAGCCAAAACAACCCACTCCAAACATTATACTGAAGAGCATAAGGCACGCAAAATGTAGCTGAAGCCATAATAAATATCGGGCTTTCACAACAGTTGGCAAGGCATTTGTGTGTGTTCGAGAAAATCCGTGCGGATCAGACGGTTTAGTTTAGACACAGTTCAGATTATAAATCACTCTCCCTGCTTCCCCCTGGACATGAATAGCTAATAAATCATATTTTGCATTCAAACATGAGCTCATACAGTGAAACCGCCGAAAAACAACACGAGATAACCTAAAAGTAGGCGATGTTTTAATACTTGACTTACCGATACAGTTGTGAACCCGAACGGAAAGGGCCGTCCGCAAAATTATTGTGTTTTTGCGACTACAAAAGAAAACAGGAATTGAGTTAACAGCAGAATAAAGCAAAGTGAAACTCCATCAAGAGAATGAAACGGTGGGTTTAGAGGTAATTACGGCTTCGTAAACATATAAGCTTACAGTCAGATTAAAATGTTCTCGAACCTGTCTAAAAAACCTTCCAACAAATCGGCTTGCTCTTCCAGCGAGCTCTCCAGATCTAAATAACATCCATTGTGGGACAGCTGTAGCGCCACATCGTCAATCTGAACAGCAAAGTCAAGCACGTCAATGAAACAAATTCAGACAGACACTAGTAACGACAAAACAAAATTTCAGCTGAAGCGAGAGCAACGCTATAAACAATAACATAACACTCACATTGTGCGGCGCATTTAGCAGCCGGTGGAGTCCAGCGATTTGTTGAAAAAGTGGTATATTCAAGTGGAATGTGTACGTCGGAGGCCGTGTAGGTTCAGGAAAATTTGTGCTTGCAAAAGGATCTGTGTCATCTAAATACTGAACTTTACAAGTTAACGCCATTTTGACGGAAGAGTCTGTGGAGCTGCCGGGCGCATGCGCACTCGGGGTTTCTCTTTTATCCCGAGCTCGTTGCGGGGGAGTCCTGTCACGTGACCATAAATCTCGGCGTTGTGAGAATGAGCGTGAATTATTCTTGAAATCCCCCATGGTAAGTATACAGCCAGTGCAGTCATAATCCACGCTACCTAGATACGATTCCTTTCGCGTGAAAACGTCTTTGTCACGCTCAAACGCGTGAGCTGCCCGTCAGATTTCTCCATGCTCGAAACTGAAGCTCCTTTCTACGAGACGTAAAGTGAAATGACAACACGAGGGAAACCCGAGCCGGTCACCCGGGTTGGCTGTCACGAATTGAATTGGACATTATTACGCCAGCCAATTAGTTTTCATTGGTGTGTTTTCCGCGGGCCTCTCTAACTGGCTCGGAGCTATATCAAAACACTTGTGACGTCATTGCTGTCATAACATGTGTCCTGTACATTTCCGCTGCCTCTCTCGTTCACCGACTTCAATAAATCCCCAATCACTGGACCCTGGCCTTAATACACGCGCGCAAACCACACACAACCCTAAAACAGACATTCAAGCAGATTGTTTCGCCCATGAAGGTGAAAATTCTGGGATATTTCCAATCCAGAAGACTGGCCGATTAGCCTAATCAAAAAACAACACAGCCCAGCGAACACAATGGGTTTAATCATGAAAAGAATTTGAGGAATGTTGGAAATGTTTGGTTGGGCTCGTGGCTGACGGCAATGCGACCCAAATTCGGTTCAAAAAATAACTCCGCGTCCAAAACACAGATAATCATTTTACAAAAACTTCCTCCAGCTGTTTTATGGTAGTTCTTTTAATTACTGAAAAAAAAAAACCTTAAAACATGTTTAACTAATCCTTTAGCTCATAATTTTTTAAGATAAGGAAAGTTTAAACTGTGACGTCATTCTTCTCTCGTTAGTCAAAGGGAGATTAAAACATGATTGAAACTTTCATAAAAGATACGCAAATATACAGTTTATTTATTTGAACGATCGAATAAAAACTATAAACACGGCAAAAATAAATAAATTCAGGACGAGATTACGCTTCAATTTGAGTTACCAGAAATTTTTTATACACGTAAAATATAACGAGAAATCACTGGAGTAAAAACATGCGGGAAAAATCTTCAAATCGGATGTTGTCTGTGACAGTTCCACAAGAACTGCATTAGATCGAGGAACACTCTCCAGGGAAAACTTACAAGAGAACAAAAAGATAGTCTCAAACGTTCACGCAGGGTTCGTTTTGGAAGGGATTAACTGGTGGAAGCGCGAAAATTTATTTATCAGTTGGCGACCTATCGGTTTGACCCTATAAACAAGGTTTTTTATAGACCCCTCTGCTAAATATAGAGCCTGTCAGCTCAATGAACAGCACTTCAACGATTTCCCAGATGAAAAGTGAGAGATGGTTAATGTTTGCTGAATATGGCCACTTACAAATCTGTAATATCGAACTTATATCACGCCCGTTAGATAACCTTATATAAGGGTCTTTTAACGGACCACTTAAAAATAACTTCGAGGACTGAGCGTGAGGTTTTAATTAGGGCAAAGCAGTTTTAACATAACATTTCTTTTGAGTGCTCGAGATTTTAGCGGATGAAGGTTTTTCGTCTGACAGCACTTAACCTCGGTGAAACTTTGATTCGGAAAGTATATATACCGGATCAGGTTTAAATATCTAGGCTATAGTACGTAGAAAATGTATAAAATATGGTTTAAAATTTACGAGAGAATGACAGCAATTCAAATTAGCGTTTCTCCAGAATGTTCCGCTTAATCGCTGTAGGTTTTTTCGCTAATGTTATGAATTCCTCAAGCTCCAGACGACCAGAAAATTAGCCATAACAGTACCAAGGTGAAACCAACTTTCAACGCCAGAGGCTTTTGCGCTCGTCACAGGCACAAGCGTTTTTGAACGATCTAAACAACTTTCTATCCGCTTTAATTTCATTTAGCAGATGTGCTGGTCGACATTTTATTGATGTTGTTCTTAAACTTCGTTTGACACAATCTGAAACAGAAATGAAAACAAAGTTTGTGAACCCTTTTTCGTAAAATGTCCGGCCTTTTCTTACCAAAGAGTATTTAATTGCTGCTTTGTTTCATCAAACCGGCGACAACTGTTGCAAAGCAAATGTGAACCGGATATATAAGGCTGTGAACTGAATAATTTCAAGAAAGTAAAAGCGGACAGTTCAGAAATACACAGGAATTTGGCATATCTACAGGAGACAGACAGTACGGAATGCGTAAAATGAACTACTATGATTTGTAAAAAAAATTTGTCAAGAGGTTGCCAGGCAGAATTTGTACGTGCTCGTGTACGTCTTAATCAGTATGAACAGACATGTACAAAATACCTTAATTACCCTTCTGTAAAAGAATACGTCAAGCTGTAATTTAACCAAATTTAATAACCGAATGGAAAGCGTGCGCCGACTACACGGGGATGCCGTGAAAAGCGCGGGAAAATTCGCGTGACTAAAATCATGCACGCTTGGTTTTGGGCGGGAAACTTAATGAGCGTCGTTTATTTTAGGAAATCCTCGAAGACAAGTTGATTAATTGGTTCAGGAAAGCGCGTTGCACGAGCTTGACGAACCAATGAGGACACTCAGCTGAAAGTTAATTTCGTTTCTCTACGTCTCAGGCCCCAGCTCAGGCCCCGTGCACACTACGCCGGAGAAATTTGAAAAAGGAAGCTTATTTCTACGGTTAGGCCTACCGTCCACACTAATCCGTCACGTAAACGGAGCTTTTCGAAAACGCTCTTCAAACCGGTGGAATTTGAAAACACTGGCTTGTGTTTAAGTGTGGACAGAAAACATTTTGAAAACGGAGCTTTTCGAAAACGGTGACATCACGCTAATCATATGATTTCCTTGGCCGAGTTTTCTTCAAGCACAAATCCAAAGTGACCGGTGATTGTTGTGTTTCCAAATTCCTCCGGCGTAGTGGAGACAGTAAACAACTCTGGCGTTTTTATGTAGGCAGTGCTCTGAAAACTGGAATACGTGGTAGGGATTTATTTTCTTTACTTCTCTACCAAAACTCTTCGAGGCGATTGTCATCGAGGAAGAGAAACTCGCAGGTAACAATTAATTCCACTATCCGCTGCCATGCTCCAAAACTTCGCTAACATTTCGCAGCCAATAAACGCTACTTCTCTGAGTTGCAGCGCCATGTTCCGAGTTCTTACATCATTCTTGTTAGTCCCTTGTATTTAAATGTTATTCACAAACGACCCAGTGAAGGCTTTCATTTGACACCAGGGAAGAATGCGCTATTTCACAGGACTGCATCACTCAGTGATTGCATCTTGCTCTGTCCGCCGTCAATCCATGGAATAAACCAATCTCGCTCCAAGCAACAAAATCACAAGTCTGTTGTGGGTTTAGGTTTGAATCTCCTGGCTGATCGTTCACTTGATCTGTATCGGAAATGATTTCCATGAATCGTGAACACGAATCCTCCAAGCTCAAATGTGAACACGCTGTTTGCTTTGGGAATCACTGAAAGACAAAATAAAACACCTTTCGTTTAGTTAATTGTCTTCATTGTAATACCAACAACAAATTATTCCGTACAAAATACAATCACTGCATTTGCAGTGACCGCTTTTTCGCGCTTCAGTAAGTACACTTTAGAAACTTTGAGGCTTGATGACTAAATTTTTAAGAACGTGCTAAGATTTAAGTATTAATTAAGAACTTTATTTGTTTCATATTTGTTTCATATTT